GTAAATTAATGTAATGAATGCATTTGTTTTATTTTTCAAGTCAGTATCTGCTACAATTATGCAGTCCTTTCAGTTTAAAACCAACATCATCGCTTCTCCAGATTTTAGCAGGGAATGTACATTTGTGGTCAATGAAAAGTCGGATAGCTTTTGTGTGGTGTAAAAGTGACTTTTCAAATGCACGTCAATCTTGATGTATTAATATTACGTAGCTTATTAATATTAAAAATCTCAATATACAATTAAGTCGTAGCAAAAATCTGTGATAAGAGGTCACACTTTTTATTAACGCAACTGTACTTTACATATTATTATGTATAAAGCAGTAAAACTGGTGGTGTTCAACTAAAACAAAAAATAAAAAAATAGAAATTCTATGCCTTCAGAGCTAGTTGGGGGCATCTTTTGAATAGTTATAAAATTTCTACAAATTAAATAATTTAATTTTTGTAGAGAAATGAGTAATTAATTATAAACATGATATTTTAATGATGTTGAATTTTAATTTAAATGGGTACAAATTATTTCATTATAACGAGTATTTTAGCATTCGTATAAATAAAGTGAATATATTTTTAGTGTGCCTTACCTTGGAATGTTCAATATCACGATGCCTTGTAAACTGGGAAGAGGAATTCTTTGCCCATCGCATTCCAGTTGAACCCTTTGTTCCAAATTCTTATAGGTTTTTTGAAGCCATTGTTTGCTACCCAAAACTCCATACCACATGTAGTTTTTAGCTCGAGATCTACATTTTTCTGGATGTTCTTCTCTTTTGTGATGAAAATCAAGAGATATTTTTGCGTCAATACCAATGCCGAAGTAGTTGTTCATAACACAACGCTCATAAAAACCTTCGGAAAGTGTTTCGTCTGGATCTATTAATGGGCTCACTGCTGCACATAAAGTATCTGCATTTGCTAATAAACATTTGCTAATGAACCCACCACCTGTACTGACGTCTAAAACATAAAAATAGATTTAAAAAAAATTCTAATGACTTTTTAAAGTTCCTATAAATATGAAGTCAAAAACTCCAGGATGGAAATAAAAATAAAAATATATAAACATGGCCGGACTGACTTTAAAAAAGTCGCGGGCTCTTGGTCGACCAGAGGCACTAAAATTTTTGTTGGCGAAAAAAAGCCCTATATTTATATTTCCTTTATTAAGAAGCCAACAAATATGTAAAAAAATGAAAAATAGGTATTTTTTTGTACAAGTATGATATACATTGAATGGTCAGTTAAAAATTGTACATTTTACACTAATTTCTTTTTTCTTAAAAATATAGATACAAAAAATACAGAAAATGAATCGAGTTTGTGTCTGTTTTAGTCTGCAAGGTACGACACAAAGTCATATTTTTTAAATGAGACATCCTGTATATTTTTAAATATATAAATAGCACTTTTCCTCCTCATTATAAATATATATGATTGTTATATATTTCTCTTCAAATAAGTGAGTTATCAAATGAAATAATATTCTTAAAAGTTTGGGATACAACTTTTGCAGAGATGGCCATGCATAAAACAATAAATGATGTAAAATACCAATTGTTGAGCTGTTAAATTAATTTCTAATAGTCGGTTTTGATTACCTGCTGTTTACCTCTTAAAACAGTTTTTTGTGTAACAATAAATGATTAAAAATACCCTTGTATTCCGTAGAAGACCGTAATGATCTCTTAAATGTATATTTTCTTTTGAATGGAAGTAACTGAAGTCAAACGTTTATACCAAAGAAAATATCCCCAGATAAGATGCTCACATAAAATTTATTTTGAATATCTTGTCAAAAAAATTTAGAAGTTGCATAAAAAAAAAGAAATTATCATGCCAATGAAGAAAGTGACTAAATATTTTAATATATTTTACCAAACAACCCTCAAAATCTATTAGGAATGGAATACGATATCTTGAGAAGTCTTTGGGATATATTAAAATTGCACTCATGAAATATTAATATAAACCCATAAATTTAGTGTGGTCCAAAAAATTAAGTGTTAACGATTACGAAAAATGTATTATTGCAATGAATAAAACAATATATTAATTTCATTGTAAACATATTTTTCACACACGAGGTTTTAGTTTATCCGGATTATTGATTAGAATGAAAGAGCACTTTTGGATTTCTGAAAATCCCCACCAAGTAAAGGAAATTCAGCATCAAGGTCGTCAATCTTCTAGGGGTTTGCATGGTATAGAGTATTAAATAATAACATTTTTTACCGATTTTTTATGAAGGCGGTTTAAATGTAAGAAGATACAATGTTCTGGAAAAAAAATAGTAGAATTTATAGACAATCTTCCTTTAAGACGGAGTCCGTTTTCACTCAACTGGCTAGGCAGATGTGGTATTATATTATGGCCTCCACGAATTCTGGATTTAACACCTCTCGATTTTTATGGGGACACTTAAAAATTGAATATGTATAGATAATTCTAATAATTTAGAAGATCTGAAACAAAAAATTTAAAGGGAATTAGGGGATTTAAATAATAATCCAGAAATAATGGTGACATTTTTGTAAACATAATATTATAATTTTTGCTTGTTTTTTTTATATGTTGTAGTACATATTTAAATTGTTATTCTTATTAAAAATCATTTAATGTAAAAGTTTTCGTACATTTAGGTGTATTTATTTGAATAGCTCTGTTACTTGAAGATCAAATGTTTAACAGTCATACATATTTATATTGAGGACGAAGAGGACTATCCAAATATGCATGGTGTCTTAATAAAAAGCGCGACAATGTGGCACCCCTTGTTATTCATTAAGATAAACACAAACTCATGGCACATACATACGAAGGCCTCAGTGCTGATCCAAATGCACCTGTTTACGTCACACCCGCTAGGCCGAGTATTCGAGAAGCTACCACGCAGTTGCCCGTTTTTAGTACAATAGGGCAGTTATTTGTGCGCGCTATATATAGCGCTCTAATCTATAGATTAGTTGCATTCTAGCTTATTATTTGTTTTTCCGATAGCTTTTACGCTTTAATTAGTGTTTTTTAAATTAAATTGTCAGTGTAGAACTTCGTAAATATGTCGTATAGATATATGTATGTTTTCTTTTTCGAAGAATGAAAGCTTGTGTAAAAAAATGAATATCTGCTATTCCAAGAAAATGATTTACACCTTCAAAGTGCATTAAAATGTGTGAGATTCATGGATCGAATTAATTGAGCAAGCTGAATTTGTTCAAATCCTTCAGGAAAGTGAAATGAATATTTATGTCTGCAAAATTCTATCAGCTATAAAACTTACGAAGAATTTCTTAATATTCTAAATACATTGCTAATTTCGGAAGGTACGGTACATATAATATTCATGATAAGGATAAAGCCACAATATTTAAATTATTAACATCTAGAATCAGCTATCTTATGCCGTTGTCATAATTTATTTAAATTATAGTCTCATTATAAATTTAAGTCGAGGAGGTTTGTTATTTCCTTGCGAAAAGTAATAATGGTCTCATCTATTTACATTATATTTAATAAATTACTGCAAGACTATGGGGCAGAATTTTTAAATATTCATAAGAGATGTTTTGTCACTCATTTTGTTTTGAATTACTTAACCTAAACTAATAAACATGGATTTGTGATTGTGAAATTCAAAACATATTGCAAATTACCGTATTAACTTGCACCACAAATACTTTACTTAAAAACTGTTGTGACGAAACTACTGACGATTTAGGTAAAATTAAAAAACAAAAATTGAATACATTAACAGACAAAATTATTCAAAACAGGCCGGTACGTTAAGTTTTTTGCAATTCAATATTTTTGTAGTAGTAAAATTCTGGTAGTTCGAAAAATATTTTTATAGGTAAATGAAATAAAAACATCACATAGGTATAATTTTCTAAACATTAAATTGTATAAGCCATTACTTGGTGATAACTGATAATTAATCATTACGATATGATAAAACACATTTTACTTTGTTGACTCCAAAAACAGTTTAAACTTTTTCAATCCATTTTTTAATTAGGTCACAAAATTACAAGAAAGCTTTAAATTAAATTTATCAAACATTATATTTTTTTTAATCTAATAGTCAGGGCAATTATTTATTTAATGACCAGTTGGTCTTACATCACTCTTTAGTCTTTAATGTTTTTCAAGTGTAATTTTTTTTGTTAACCATAGTATTTATTGACGTATTGCCTCTTAAACTGTGTTTAAAAGTTCCCATTAAAATGTATTTTATTATATCGTATTGATTTTTCTAATTTATTTCTTTGGTATTTAAATCTAAAAACTATTCTTGTGTTTATCTTTACAATAGTTTAACGAGCAAAAAAACTAATGGGGTGCGGTGTAAGTGCTCAGTTCACGACTGGCAACACGTTTTTACAGGAAAGCCCTCGCTAAATGCTACAAATAATTTAGCGCTGTTTATTATTTGTTTTTAGAGTACCTATGGCAAATTACGCCGGCTCGGTTTGACTAGCAGTTGTGACGTCACACCGTAGTACTGAGGTCTTGTTTTTTAGGTGGTAATGTGCCGAATCATTTTTACATTTTTCTTCTAGATGATTGTAAGAATAAGAAATCTGCTTAAAAAAATAGAATTTTCAGCTGATTACCCTGTACAAAACAAAAATAAGAGATCAAATAGATATAAAAAAACATTTAAAAAAAAAACAAAAGCAGTCAACTCTTAACATATGTATAGTGGTAGTATTAGTTTGTTACTTGAGGATTGATCATATTTTCGATATTATTCTAAATACTACAATCCTTGAGTGACTCTCTAGGATTTATTTACGCGCCGGGGCGCCTGTATCGAAAAGCGCAGGGGGCGATCCCTCGGCCCTGTATATACTATACTTATGCTACTTGGTAGCTGAAGGAGCTCCTATCCCATTGGTAATTAGTGATTAGGTATACTTATGTGACGTGTATTTAAATTATGCGTATCACATGTCTAATTAATAGACCATTTACATTTTTCGTACAATTACTTAGTGTGGCTTCGTGGTCGAGTGGTAAGGACGATTGCCTCTCACCCTGGAGTCTCGGGTTTGATTCCCGGTTGAGGAGTTAGGATTTATCTAAACCAGAAATTTATCCTAGCATACTCGGACATTGGGTGTGTGTCTATTGTCTCTACATGTGTAGCCCTCTCCCACATAAGGTCCTTGAAACACCTTCAGGGGTACGGGGGTTGTATTACATGCAGTGTTTAATGTTTAATCTATAATTGCATAATTAAGCAACTTATATGCAAAAATCTTTCATTCATCTTTAACACATTTGTACCATGTAGATGCAAGGTTATGTGATACACATATTTACTTGATAAACACAATTAAATGAACGAATTTTGAATTTGAATTTATACAATTAGGTATCTATCGATAGAATTAATTATTTAATGAGTTATTCTGATTGACTGGTAGCAAATTTCGATATTCATATATGAAAATTGAAAATATTATTAACAATTAAGGATTGATCCTTTGTGACCCTTGATGTTATTTCTAAAGGTTCAAATATGTAGATATTATATAGTATTATTACAGGGAGAATGTATTTTTTGGCCTCAGCTGTAAGAGAAAAATGTATATTTTGTTTATGTTTTTCAAATAACTGACGAGAAAGAAACCCTTCCATCTAATTAATGTAATAGGCCAGCAAGTTACCTTTATTTTCGGACTTGACCGACTAATCGCGTTCGGCAGCCTAATTTAATTTTTAATTGATAGTATACATCAAACGGAAGACGACCATGTGTTTTTTATTTATTTTTAAGCCGGGGAAATTTGGGATATTCCTTTATGAAAATGGTCCGCGAGAAATATTGTAATGCTTTCGATTATGTAAATTTAAACGACTCGTAAAGTTCAAATTTATCCAGATTCTTTTAGAGACATGTTTGAGATCCCGTTTGAGGTGCCCGGTGTAAAATTATTCAATGTATTATCAACTTAATCGATTTATTAAAACAAAAAACTACGTTAAAATAAAAGTTTTGAACAAAACCTGTAGAGATGATTTCTCTCTTTAAAATAAATATCTTAAAAACTAGAAATTACTATTTCTAAAGCAAATCTCATACGAAAGTGGATGAAGTAAATTTGTAGAGTGGAATGAAAAAATAATAACGCTGAAAAAATTTTTTGATAATTATTATTTACTACTTTTACAAAACTTCAACAATATATATCTATTTAAACAATTATTTTCCCGGTTATTTGCAAAAACGCTGAAACTTGGATTACACAAAAGATATGCACATTATGTTCAGTATGACTGACTCAATAATGTCTTTTTTTATGTAAGAGGTTGTCGGCCCCTACCTGCCTGCAAAAATCTACAACCATGAAACAAATCGTTGTACATTTGTCGTTGTTCTGATGGTACAAATTGCACATAATATGAATGAAAATCGGGATAATAAATAATTTAATATAAGCTGCCTAATTAATGTATCAATCATATATTTTACGTTCTCGTGCATGTATTTATTTTCTCGATTCCTCCTTATTCATAAATCGTTTACACAAAGTAAAATTTATATAAAAAAAATCTGTTGATTTTAACCTCAACTTTTACCTTACTAAAGATTCAGGCTGTAGCGAATAAGCCACGGCGCTCAGGATATTTGCTCTAGAATCAGAAACAACAAAAAACAGTTTGTGAGGCAACCACTTTAAAGAGAAAACTTTTTTGGCTACGATTCATTCTTTTGCATTGTCAGGATAATTATCGGAAACGTTGCGTCTTTCGAAATAAAAACATGGTATTTTAACGTAGTTTTTTTGTTTAAACAAATCGAATAAGATGATAATACATTGATTAATTTTTTTTAACATGAACATGTCTCCGAAAGAATCTGGATGAATTTGAACTAAATTTACATAATCGAAAGGATTACAATATCTCCACACTGGTATATTCCAAAATTCCCCAAAATAAATAAAAAACACATAGTCGTCTTCCATTTGATCTATAGGTACTATCAATTAAAGAGTAACACAATGTCGGTCACTTATTTTCTGAATGACTTCTAGAGGGTAATTTGCTAGCTTATAAAAACAAAACCTAATGTTTGTATACATTATGGATAAACTGATGTATTCGCCACAAGCATAACATCATGCTGACAAATATTTCATCAAACGAAGTGAAAGAACAATTACATGTTCACTTTTTGTATACTACATTAGAGGGAATATTAAAAAAGTTTGTGAAATGTGGAGAAATAAACTATTACGATACTAGAAACGTGGAAAAATTATTTGTACCAGCTTATAGACTCAGTCAAGTAAACAAAGGTCCAATTATTATTACAGCGATTAAATAATATAATCATCTGCCTGGGCATGTAAAGTCTATATCCAGCTTCAATCTTTTTTAAAAAATCCGCGAAAATTTTTCTGTTAGAACATTGATTTTATTCTCTTCAGGAATATTTTGATTATTGTGATAAGTATTGTCTCAATTCTGTTATTTATCAAGTGTCCTGCCTTATATTTTTCAAAGTTGTTTTACAACTATTTTCCGTATTTATATTTTGTACACATATATGTTTCTCCGTGAATATATGTATATTTGTATATATGTGTATGTATCTATGTACGTGTGTGTATGTGTGTATATGTGTATATGTATGTTTGTGTATATATATATATATATATATATATATATATATATATATATATATATATATATATATATATATATATATATATATATATATATATATATATATATATATATATATATATACATATATATGTATATGCATTTTCTCTAGTTTTAGTTTTGACAATTCCGATACTTGTAATTTAATTTAGTCAATGGAAATATGAAATTGGATATTTCATAATTCACCTAAATTAGATACACTTACTTGGCCAAGTTGGAAGTCTCACAAGAGGGTTGATAATGGGCATCTTTCTGTTGTCTTTTTCTTCTTTCTTTTCATTTTCCTTTTTTTTCCGCCTCACTGTAAAATTTGCTGGTGGCCGCTGCAGCCGCCAAAGCTGCGGTTTCAGCTGGATTCAACATACTACAGCAGGATATCCTCCTAGTGGCAGCTGGGGACCTTGTTAGGAACTGCTCATTATCAATACCCAATAGATTAGAGTTAGAACTATTGTTGCTTGTTGTTACATCGCTGGTGGAGAGTCTATCAGCCTTTGAACATAGGAGGTCTAGGTCGGGGTCTATTTCTCCTTCGATTTCTATTCGGATATGCTCTAGGCGCTCAGAGCGGATTTGTTCATTTAGAACGGGAGAGGGAGGTTCTACTATCACGCTTACTTGGGGGAACTTACACTGGAATTAATGGGGAGTCATAACATAACAAAATCATAAGAAATTGTCATATCAAAAAGTTTTTTCGTTTGGTGTCAATGAGGATGAAGGTTCGTGTGAATTTTGAAAACATTAATATGACTTAAAAAGGTAGGTTACATGCAATATTGGTTTTTATACAGAAATAAAATACCAAGAAAACTATTTCCAACTTTTAATAATAAAAAATATATTCTTGAAGTTCAATTCCATATATACAACATACCTAACCTAGAAGAGGTCGGTGAGAAAAACTACTTGGTAACGATATATGTTTAACGATTTTTCTTACATTATTGGTACAGTCTAGCTTTGCCATTCTTTTTTATTATTTTCAGGCAAATAAGTATTTTAACAGACTCTAAATAATTTAATATAACTCCACACGAAATACGAAATCGCTAGGCAGATACAGATTCCGCTAATATACAGGCCTTCCGCGGACTGACGGCTATTTTATGCATTTTGCAAAATGACTAGCATATTTTTAGATAAACTGAAAAATGCTTAGTAGTTTAGTCAATTTTAAGAAGATTTTCAGTGCGCAAGCGCACTAGGCGTAACAGCAGCCAGTTTTCCTCTGTCGGTCCTCAAATTGCATAAGCTATACTAGGCATTCTGCAGATTAGGTAAAACATGCTCGTTGCTCAGCAAAATATGACTAAAACAGTCTAGAGTCTGTGGTTTGTTTGTCCATTTTGGAAATTTTTAGACTGTGTAGACATATTCGGTAACATGTCCAAATATACACGTTTATTATAATATAAAAAATTTTTAAATTTTAGGACATACTGGTTATAATCCACACAAATAAAAAAAATATTTTAAATGAAATAAAACATGTTTAATTTAAATAAATATTTGTTTCATGCATAAGCAAATAAATTTATTCTCTGTTTAAGAAAAATATTCGTTTACCGATCAAAATTACTTTGCGGATTTTTTCCTGCGAAATTCGCAATTCCGTGTTTTCGTTAATTTCTTCCATTCTCGCTAAAGCGAAATTCGTTAAAAGGAAAAATGTGTCTTATTTACTAAATTGAGTTGGTTCTAACCTTCAATTTAATTCAAATACTGTTAACTGGCATTCATATTCGAGCGCCGAACGAGGCGCCGGAATATTCACTCATCAGTGACTCATTCAGCGAGCGAAGGACGCGAAACGTCAAACACTGGTATTTATAGTCCTGCCCAACGAGGTGCCGGAACAACTACTCACCGGTGATTTGTTCAGCGAGCGGAGAAGCCGAAGTATGCGTTTCATAATCGAGCACTGAGGAGTCGCTGGCTGGCGAAAGGAGGTCAGGGCGCACCATCGTTGTCTTAGAGCTTCAGCGCACTAGTGGCCAGGTCGCCGCGACCATTGCAGTCACGGCCAGAAAATACACGACAGAGAAGAACGCGATCCACCTAGAGCGGCTAGCAAGTGTGTAAGTTATAATACAACAAAACCCTTACATCAGCTAAACGTGATACCCAGATAAGTGTATAAATAAGAGCGCCTCGAGCACTCTGCGAGTTTTTTCGTCCTAGACATCGACTAGCATAGTTCGTGTGTAAATTGTTCATAAACGTAAATTGTTAATTAACGATCCAAACAAATAAATTTTCTTAAGAATCTTCAATTTTTGTTTTTAAAAAACCAATCGCTCGTCTACGATTCTTAAGTGGCGCAGTCGGGATCGGATTTCTTCAGTTACAGCCGAAAAACAGAAAAACACAGTAACGTACGTTTCAACGTT